ATGGTTACTTATTAAATTATCAATAGGGATCTATCAAAAAAAATTTAATATGGAGTGGTTTTTGTAATTGTTTAGTTGTTTTTATTATTAAAAGCTTCTATGACCTTTTTACTAAAAAAAAAAGGTTTATATAAACTTGTTATTTTACTAAAATTTAATTATCAAAAATTATCAAGAGAAATATTCAAAGCTAGTAATGGGACTTGTCATCTCATAAATGGTTACTTGTTAAATTACTATAAAAACTTGTTATTTCTAGTAATAAAAACAAGTATTTATAAAAATCAGTGCATATTAAGTTTTTTAACAAGTCTCATTAATAGTTTAACAAGTAGCTATTTGTAAAATAACAAGTAACCATTGAGCTCTTAATACATGTTGGTATGAAAAGTGAAAATAAAGTTATATATATATTTGCATTATATAATTGAAAGGAATTATTAGTCTAATGGCTAATAATCCTTTTAGTGACCAAGAGGATGTAGGTTCAAACTTTATCTTAACTACCTTAAAAAATAATAATAATAATCTACCTCCCTCATCGATCTAGTGATCAGCGTTGGAGCTCTCTAGCAATGGTCTAACCACTACTACTAGAGCTCTAATGGCCAATCCAACCATTGGTGTTGGAGCTCCTGATGCCAATGATTGAGGAGCTTTTTTAAAAAAAGACACAAGTGATAGTTTTATCTTTTCACACTAAAAATTAATTATATTTTAGTCTCTTAGTCTTGTAGTATAATTTTAAAATTATTTGATCCTTGTTTGTAAATAAAATCCTCGAAGGATTTTTGGCTGTGATTTTCCTGATATGTCATCACTAGCACCAATATTTAACGAGGGTCCAAAATTTAATATTTTACGCGGGCTAGAGCAAATTTCAGTCTTTTATATAATATATATCTGTATCTATATCTGTATCTATATTATATTTAAGATCTGGCAGTCCATTTCTGCCACTCATGATTAGTGCTGCCACATGTTCCCTTCGTCCAAACCTCCAATCAGTAATTAAGGAATTTTGATAGCTGTACATTTGTTTGGATTAGGCCTAAAATTTTATTTTTAATTACACTGATGTTTAAATAAAATTTATTAAATGAATTAGACTTGCGTTTCAAATATAGGGGAATAGATTTCGTGATAAGGTAATAAATTTACTTACACAAAAACATTATGAAATTAACTAGAGTTAGGATTCAATAAACTAAAGGTGGTTTAATTGAGTAAAAATTGCATTGAGAAAGATACTACACCATAATTAAACTTTATATACTTGATTTTGACCTAATTATAGCACTAGATATTAAATAATTATATAAACATTCAAATAAAAAAGATAAATATGAGAAAAATTTTTAAATTACCGAGTTAACTTGAGATCCAAGTAAATGATATCAGCATGACAACAATTACTTTATAATTACAGAAGAATGAGATTTCAATTATATGTTAATTTAAATTTTGCACTTTTTGGCAAAAAGAAAAAAAAATGCCAAAGTTGTCACGAGCATGAGATCGATCAGAAAAGCATTATGGTGACAAGAAAGCTAATTTTGTACTAAAAAGGTTAAATAAATATTTGACATAAAGTGGATGCAAATGCAATAATGTTTAGATTCCTCACAATTGATCAGATATGGGACCGTCATGACAAATAATTCGTTTGTCGTTTTGTGAAAGAAGAGACGATTGAAGGCTGCTTCTGCCTCTTACTTCTGATTAATGTAGGTGTATGGATGCGATCCCAACAAAAATTGTTTTATTATTCAGTCAGATTTTCCCAGCTCTCTGTTTTTGTGGTGAGAATAAGCTAATTACTCCCTTAATTTTTTGCATAGTAACACAATAAACCCTAAATTTATTTATTATATAAATTGTTCCATCAAATATTAAAAACAATGCAATGTTATCCTGCCCTTATGAAAAGCTAACTTTGACTAGTTGACTGAAAATGGTAAAAAAAGGACTTCAAAAATTATAAAAAAAAACCAAAAAAAATCCTTTTTTATACTTTTCGGGTCCTTTTTCGTAATTTTTGAATTTTTATGGTAATAATTTGGTCTTTTCTATAATTTTTGATATCATTTTTAAGTAATCTAACGGTTAAAGTTAACTTTTATTAATAACAGGGGTCACATTACGTAGTTTTCAAGAGTTAAGAGAACAACTTACACATTAAACGAGTTCAAAATTTATGATACTATTTGACCTAAAGTTTAGAGAGTAATTTACTCATTTGTTTTTTTTTCCTTGTGTTAAGTAAATGTTTTGATGAATTAGAAATGTTTAAAATTTTATCATATCAGAGCTCAAAGTCTCATAATTCAAATGATGTTGATATTTTCTTCAACAGTATGATGCAAACAATGTTTAATCAATATACATTTTAGGATCTTATAAAATTGCTTGTTGTACTCCGTCTATTTTTTTGACTGAAAATAAGTATTGTAATATTAAAAAATCTGTACAACAAACAAAATTCCTAAGGGGTTAACTCCTTTCACAATCCACCCTTTCATAAAAATGGGAAGGTTGATGATGAAGGGAAATAAAAGAATTAGTCCTAAGCTGACCTACACTAATCATGTCTTTAAAAAATGCACTATAATCATTACAAAGGAAATTAGAAGAGATATTCCAATTTCAAAGAGCAAAACTTTTCACTTGGAGAAGGAGATCATGCCAAGGGTTTTCATAAGTTATACCCCTGCCTAAGCAATTAAGAGTACTAGCACAGTGGCAATCAATTTTTATTGTTTTGACACTATCATTCCAGCATTTTTTTAGGCCCATAAGAATAGTTCGTATAACCACAGAGTCCCCTAGAGCAGAATCCATCTTTATGCTATAGCCAAATTCAGGAGATTGACCTTGCTTCCTTATCACTGCTACACCCATATGTCTTCCTTATAGCTCTACTTGTTCTGCTACCTCAAGTCTAACTAGATTATGATCAAGATACAGTTGAATTAGATTCACACCAGCACCACCTCTTACAGAGTTAGTTGCATATAGAAGTTTTCTATCTTGGAGAATTCTAAAAATCATTGTTTCTGCATTAAACTATTGGGTATGTCTATCATCAGCATTAAAAATGGCATTACATCGAGATGTCCAAATTTCTCAGCATGTGTAAGCAAAGAGAATTTTCCAAGAGATTTGTTTTGTCATTTGATTATCCAAATTACCATTGAGGTTCAGTTTCAGCCACTGATGTATGTTCCCACTTGTGAATTTCGTCCAGTGATTAAGTGCTACAAGTTAGAGTCAAATAGTCACATTGTGTTGGGCAACATCCTCAAAGGAGGGACACAGTCAACTCGGCTTGCAACATGTTGATGCATATAAATGGATACAGTATCATATTTTAATTTAAAACCTTAAAATATTTATGAACTATTTGGTAATTTTTTCTGAAAATAATTTTATATTCTACAGAATAAAAAATAAAAATATGTTTGATAATATGTTTTAAAAAAATATTTTGAAAAAAAAAATAAAATATTTTTGGAGAGTTAAAACATAAAAACATCTTTTAAGCATTCTGGAATTATTATTCTGAAAAATAAAAGAAAATAAAAAAAAATTATTTTTATTATTTTTTATCTCAAAATATGTTTTACAAAACATTAATTCTTAAAAAAAAACAAAAATAATTTCAAACAAACTTTTAATTTATATAATTTTTTTACTGATATACCTCGTATTCATCTAAATTCTGTTCAATATGACACTTTTCTCCCCACATTTAGCCGAATCTAGTTATCCTTGATAGGATTCAGCTCTTCCCTATTACGGAGTGCATCCTTCGCACCTCCAGTGAGCTTTTGGCATATTTGAACTATTCAGATTAAATTTAAATTGTTTAGATTTAAAAGTTTTAATTTTAATTTTAATTGAAAAAAATTTATAAAAAACTGTAAAAAACTGCAATAAATTCGTTTATCACCAATCAATATGGATAGTATAAATTTAATGTGAATGGTCTTAATTTAATCTTAAATTTTTTATCCAGATATACCCTGGATTGTGTAGATTTCAAAATGTTTCACTTGCAATTTTTTTTATAAAAAAATGAAAAGTACCTGTTTGGAAACAAAAATAAAAATTTATAAAAATTGTATAAAAAAATATTAAATCTGCATTGTCCAAAGTATATCTAAATAACCAATTTATGAAAAATATTACAAATTTAATATTAAATTAAACCATCAAGATTAAATTTGTTCTATCCAAATTGGTCAGTGATTAACAAATTTATTAAAAATTTTTATATTTTTTTTAAAATTTTATTTAAAAAAATAAAACCTTTACATCTAGACCATTTATATTTAAAATAAATAGTCTAAAACTGCCCAAATCTTAGTGGACACATGGAAGACACACTCCTCAACCGAGACAAGCGGAGTCCGCTTGACATATCCCAAGACAGGGGGAGTATTTGAAGAGATTTCTACAACGTTATAGTATTTGAAAGAACTAGTTGTATTGGAAAAGGGAAGGTTAGAAATAAGAGAGATATCACTAATCTTTTCCATTGTTTCATATGATAAATTTTAAAGGAATTATTTTTTAACAAATGAAGTGTAGGCTAGTTTAATTTCTAGGGCTTCGCAAATTAAAAGGGCATGCAGGTCACAAAGAGTGTTCATAAGTCCTCACCATTTTTTACAACAAGATCTTCATATCTATAATAGAGTTTACACCAATGCCTTCGACATAAGTTAATTAATTAATTACCGATTGAACTAAATTTTTTAATGAAATTGATTTTTTTACTCATAAAGAATTATTCAATATTTGGTATATAAACTATCATACTTTCATAAGATTCTGATTCCAAATTTTACGAAAGACATTAATTCCTTTCTATTTGAATAATGTTAATTAAAGAAATTATTGCTATTTAAAATTGGATAACTTTTTAAAGAGATTAATTAATAATATTTCCCCATTTCCTCGTTAAAAAATTAAGGGAATTGAAAGATGAATAGGAAATTAGGTAAACATGGCCAATATGTATCATTAATTAATCATTGCAACCTTTTGGCTCATTCTATCACAAGTAGAATGGAAACTTCTTTAAAATATGAATTTGTTCGCATCCATATGAGAAAGTGAGGGAAAGAAGAACAAAAAATCTCCTTTTCTTGTCTACTTCAAGATTCAAGAGATGAATTACCCCTTCTTTTTCATCACCCTGAAAATAAGGAAATTAGCATGAAAATATGTGTACAAAAATACATACAAATTCAATCCAGGTTTTGGAAAATAGCTTGGCAAGTCTCACTTCTTTATATGTGAACTTCATGTGGGTGGGACCTACTTTACCCATCTTTAATTGTGGTCAATTCTCCATCTTCAAACGAAATATTATTTCACACACAGAGGACCTGCATTAATTCTGCAATTTATCTAACATTTTTTGTTTTCAAGAGCTTCTCTTTTGTCTGAAGTGATGACGAATTCTTGTTAGCATTCATGATTCTCAAGCTTTGTCTCAACAAATCAAACTCTCTCTCCTTTTTCTTCTTTTGTTGCTCCAAAGACTCCAATTGAGATTTGAGCGACTTGATGGTTCCTTCTTTGTCTTGTAATTCTGCCTTCAGTTTCTCCATCTCCACCTCATTTTCCTCTGCCTGCTTCCAACACACTCCATCACCTGTGAACCCATAGTCAAATAATTAATTTTTATTTTTTGTACTATTTCTTTAATTACAATATAAATTGTTGTAACATAATTTGAATGTTTCTCCATAGTCCATATCATATGTGCCCTTTACAAATCTGTAAATTAACAAGGAAGAATAACAGTTAGATTTCAAAATACTGAATGAATACTAGTTAAGTTTCAATAAATTTTTTTGAAAAATAAATTAAAAATATTGATACAAATTATGACAAATCCAAGAGTTTTAATTATAGAGAAGTATTTAAATATCAAATATAATTTTTATATTATAATAACAAAATTTATTTGTAACTGTTTGAATTAATATTTAAAATTTATTTTGTAAAAATTTTTTTCGAGGGCTTATTTGTAACTAATTTATTTTTTTAAAATCTAACTGTTATTCTCCCAATTAAAAATGTGCAGGTGATATATCCAGGGTTCTAGAAAAATACAGAGCAAAAAACATTCGATGGTATATTTTCTTCTTTAAACTCTATCTTAAAAGGACATTGAAAGGCAACCTACCTCCCAACTACGAAATGACTGAATTTTAATGTAATTGGTTAAAAGGGAAAATCAACTAACAGCTAGTTGTTGGGTAGTTTTGTAGTACATAGATAGAATAGGAAAAAAAAATGAAAAAGTAAATTTGTAAGAGAAAAAAAAAATGGAAAGAGAACATTGCAGTTAAGCAATAATAGAGATTTGATAAATATGTCATTAATATTTCGATTTTTGTCCTAAAGAGAATCATCGCGTTCTCTTCGCCCTTTTACAAATTAAAGGGAATGCCAATAAATTATTAATTATTGGAACTCAAACACAGATATTGTAAATATTTAATATAAATATCTTCAATTACTTTATAAAAAAATAAATATCTTCAATTAATTAATTAATTAATTAAAGTCTGCCTTTTTAAAAAAGAAACATACAAATTCTCTAGTCATACAAGTACTTTGCACCAGAAATTCTCTAGTTTAACATAGACATTAAACTCAACTAGCTTCACTTCCAGAATTTTCAACGAAAAAAAAAAAAAACTTAGACCTACTTGGTCTAAAAATTCAACCAACTTTTAAGTTTATTTCTATTAAATATACATATTTTAAATATAAAATATTCAAGTATTTAATATCATTATCAACATTTAATAAAAGCAAAATGATCAATGCAATAACTATTAAAGCCCTTTATAATTAGAACCAAAACAATTACATTCTCCTTGCCTTGTTAATAAGACCAAAGGAGTAATAACCAAAATAACAACACTAACTAATTAACAAGAAATTTTGCATCTTTACACCTAAAAAAGTAACAGCTTGATCTGTCCAAATTTCTTGGACCAATTAACTCTATGACGATTATAATAATGATTGGGTGAATGAAATGGACTAAATGTCATAAATCTAAATTAATGGGAAGAATGAGCAGATATGCATACCATTGTAAGTTCTCTGAATGAGATCATCCAACTCTGTCTTAATTTCTAGATAAAGTTGTTTCCACTTCTCAACAGCCTCGTCTCTTCTTGCTCTTTCCTCCTTCATCTTCTCAACTAGAAGCTTGGTCCCCATTAATTCCCACTCTTTCCCACTATTTTCCTCGCCTTTCTCCATTATTCCCATCTTGTCCCTCACCATCTCTCTTATCTCTCCCTCTCCTCCGCCGTCTTCCTCAGCAGCGCCACCTCCTCCCTCAGCTTCTCTCTCTCTCTCTTCCACTCTGTCTCCTTCAAAGCGAACATCATTATTTCTCTTTCGCAGTTCATATACTCTCTCTCTCTCTCCACCATCATCGTCTTTATCTCCTCTTGCAGAACCTTCACCCTGTGCTTCAGATTCATCACTTCTTTCTCACAGCTATAATACCGTCCTCCTCTATTATTATTCTTGCTAAGCTTGCCTCCCATGGTGATCTATCTCTCTACAGCTTCTTCTTCTTCTTCTGGGGATGAATGTGAGTGAGTGTTCTTATAGTGAGAGAGACAGAGAGAGAGAGAAGGAAAAGGGATAGCATCTCTGTGCTGAAGGACAGCACTTCAATGGCTTTGATAAAATAATAAGAGCATCAAGAAAGAAAATTCAGCCACTTTGTGAACTCCGGAGGATAAGGGTCACATAGCAATACACAGAAGTACTACTTTAATTCAATAGTGATTGGTGGGTTTGTTTTTAGGGAAAATGACAATTAAGTCCTAAAGATCAACTTTATATCAATTAAGTCTCAACTAATTTTAAAAGGCCAATCAAGTCCCATGCTGTTTTTTTCCAACCAGAATTATGAAAGAAATGACGAAAATGCCCCTATGAGTAAATATAACATGTACACTACTCATCAGCTCCAACATTTGTCTCTTTCCCGCCATTAATGAGAGTTGCATGTAAGTGGTGGAGCTATATGTTGAAGAATATCCATTCATGAAATAGAGTTATGCTTGGAAGAGGTGAGTTGCCTTAATTATTCACTCAAGGAAGCTTAAGGAGTTGTGCTGATGCGTGTAAATAGGTTTTTTTTATTTCACATTTCTAAATATTTGGCATGAAGATTCGACATTTTGCAACTGAAAGTGTAAGAAATTACTATCGAGTGTCCATATTTTAAGATAGAATGCTGTCACTATTTCACTGATGCGAAAATCACTTATATCAAAAGTAACTTGTTTCTAAGTGATATATTATTACATTTTATTTTGTTTCTTATAGGTTGATATTATTGGGTACGATAGAAAGTAGTTATTTAAAGAAAATTTTTTGTTATTTTCATTTTGGTGGAGATATTGTAAAAATATGCATGGGACAATGCATTATGATGGGGGGAGTTGTAATGGAAGAATGATTAGAGAAGGAATGTCTCTTAAAGAACTTGTTAGATTGATTTCATCATGCTTGAATTGTGATTTAAATGGAATAGAATTGAAGTACACAGTGAAGTTTGATTGCAATGCTCTTTTAGACCTTAAAGATGATGAAGGGATAAATCAATTAATGAAATTGAATGATAATTTTGCTCATGTTTACATCATTGGGAAGACACAGCAAAGTACAAAAGCAACAAGAGATTCAATTGATGAGTAAGTTTTTTTAATAGTTGCATAATTAATATTATGCTAATATGAATATGGATGGTAGTAGTAAACATGATTTGAATGAAAATGTAGAGCAGGATGTTCAGCTAAGAATTCACATGCTACACAAGATCTTGAAGTTCTACCATGTGTAATATAAAGTATCCCAATACCAATGCCTGAGCTAAATGCAATAAAGTAGAAGGATTTGCTAGTAGGACCTAGGTAGATTTTTTTGAGTGCTGATGATTGTAGACAAGCAATCAACAAGTATAGTATTGCACTATGCATATTATCTTCGTAGTTTATAGGAGAAAATATACAATGGCACTATACATCATGTTGAGGCCCATGAGATGTCAAAGCCAAATGCATTGACAGCATCTAAGCTCATAAGCCAAATCTTTTTGCTGCCTCCTAGAACATCTCGATCAGTTAGCAGACCTTATCATGTGAGGATTGAGTCTCAATATCAGCAGAAGAAGGTTTATTATTGTTTGTCATTATCATAAAGCAGGTCGTACATGGAAGAGGTGTAGAAATCTAAATCCAAATTGATGTTATTATAAATGGGTTACCACATGAACTTGAATTTGGATGATATACATATATGGATAGTTTTAGATCAAGTTAGATTTGGTTAACATATATAGGTTTTTATACATATATATTGGTAGTATTGGGGGATTTTTTGGTACATAGCAACCCCTCTTTTTATAAATTCAAGTTCATGCTTTTGTGCATGTGGACAACTGATATGTGCAGATGCATTAGATGAATTAATACATGCAACTTATATGTACAGTTCATATCTTCTGTAATCACCAAATGTGTTGTCTTAAAATTTTGAACAGAGGTTGCAAATTATTTGTAAGGCAGTTGTAAAATTTGGTATGTCAATTGCAAATTACTGGAGCCATGTCCTAAAATAATTTGGTAGCTTTGCAAGTTTAAGAATTCAAAAGTTATTCCACTCAAAATTTTGAGAAGGAGTTGCAAATTATTCGTAATGAAGTTGCAAAATTTGGTATGTTAGTTGCAAATTACTGGAGCGTTATCTTAAAATAATTTATAGCTTTGTAAGTTCAAGAATTTAAAAGTTATTCCACTTAAAATTTTGAGAAGGAGTTGCAATTTATTTGTAATAAAGTTGCAAAATCTGGTATGTCAATTGCAAATTACTGGAGCCATGTCTTAAAATAATTTGGTAGCTTTGCAAGTTCAAGAATTCAATAATTCTTCCACCCGAAATTTTGAGAAGGAGGTGCACATTATTTGTAAGAAAGTTGTAAAATTTGATATCTCAATTGCAAATTACTGGAGCATTATCCTACAATAATACTTTAAGAATTCAATAGTTCTTCCACCCAAAATTTTGAAAAGAAGTTGTCAAATTATTCATAAAACAGTTGCACAAATCTGGTGTCTGAATTATAAATTACTGGAGCGTTGTCCTAGAATAATAACTTTTTAAAAAATTCAATGGTTCTTCTATCCAAAATTTTGACAATCAATGGCAAATTTGTCTTGAGCTAGTTGCAAAACTAGGTACTTAAGTTGCTTGACAACTTGATTGATTGGATATAATGTATAACTTGAACATTATAAATACATTTCAATATTAGAAGTTGGAAAAAATTGTGAAAATAAATTACAGAGTTACAAAGTTGCAAATAATTGGGTACAGTGTATAACTTCAAACTTAAAATCCATTTGAGCATGTCATCACTTGTACAAACTACATAGCCCCCCTTCTGCTAAGACACTCAGGGAAAAAATTGAAGAAGAAGCAATTTCTGCATAATCGAAATGGTGAATGTTGATGAAGATCAGACTCTTCAGCTAGGCAAATGCATCACACCCATCAAAGATTAATGACCAAAACGGATTACAGATTAATGACCTAAGCAACTGATCACTTAGGGCAGAGAAGAGACGTAAAAAAGGACTAGAATAGAGATGACAGAAAGCTTTATTGGACAGCTCAGGAAGAGACGACAGAGAGCTTTACTCGCTTGCAATGAGATAGGGAAGAGACAATGAACAGGGCAGGGAAGGAAGAGAGAGACAACGAACAGGGCAGGGAAGGAAGGGACGACGAACAAGGCAGGGAAGAGTAGAGAAGGAGAAACCTCAAATTTTCATCAGCCAAATAAGGGTGTTTTGGTCATTTCTTATTATATTAAAATGCTACTCAAGGATCTAGGGACTTAACTGACTTTTCAAAATGTCTTGGGACTTACTTTGAATGAAATTGATCTTTTGGGACCTAATTGTCATTTTCCCTTATTTTTACTTAATGTACATTGCTATCCATTTTTTTTAAATAACTTATCAAGTTTTTACTTTAACTGAATTTTCAATTTTACTTTTAAATATTTTTTAATGAAATGAGGGTTTGATTACTTATGTAGAGTTGGTCATTAATTAAAATTTTTTGAAATTGTTACTTTTTCACTGAAGTGAAAATAAAGATTAAGATTAATTCTTTTTTTTTTCCTTACAAATTTTGGCACTGGGTTCAGAATACTTTGTTCTTAAAATAAAATAAAATAAGCAGAGTAACTTGAGGGGATAGTATAGTATATTTTCCTAGTTCACAATATATTGTTTAAAAATGACAATACAATTTTATTAGTTTCTTAAAATAATCTTAAACATGATTTATTTATTATATCCTTTATATGCATAATGGCCTTTTGGCCATGAATATTTTTGTCGACAATATACCTTAAATAATTAACTAAAAAATTATCTTTAAAAAATTAACAAAAGAGCTAAAGTACAGTATACTTTCTCTTGAGGGAAAGCAATTATTATAAAGCCATACAAAAGGAAGAGACCACACACACATATATATATATATATATATATATCAAATTAAATATTCTCTTTAATCTTATCATCCATGTAATTTGGAGAAATATACAGCCTTGGATTTTCAATTAGGTTTGTTCCTTAATTTCATTGAAGAAAAATCTTAATTATTAGAGCATTACCTATGGGTTAAGGCATGACTTTTATTTTTCATGCTTGAGCAACGATTATATTTTTCAAGTCAACTTGCTATTTTAAGATCCTAAAAAGTAACAAAAAAGTACCCTAAAAATTTTAGTCCACTTACTGAACTCCAAAAGCCACACAGGTAAGCTAATGGAATCATCTTGGGTGCTCATCACCTTAATGAGCACCACGGTGCTCATCAAGGTGATGCAAACTGGACCATCCAGATTTCTAATCTGGATGGTCCAGATTTAAAGAAATAATTTAATATTTTTATTTAATATTTTCATAAATAAAAATTTATAAAAATTATAAAAAAGTTTTAATAAATATTTTTATGACTAATCTAGTCTATATTTAATTTAGAGTGTCTAATTTAATATTAAAATTTTTATATTTTTATATATTGACTATCCAGATGTATTCTGTACAATTCAGATTTAAAATTTTTAACTTGTAATTTTTTAAAAAATATTTTTTAAAATTTATAATTAAAATATTATACATTTTATTTTTTAATATTGTATTCATTAAAAAAAAAAATAAAAACTTTAAATTTGGACTTTGTAGATAAACATTTGATATCGAATATGGACTGTCTATAATATATGTAGATAGTCAACTTAAAAAGTTATAATATTAAATTAAATTACCTAAATTAAATCAATATTATTCAGATTGATGATAAATTTATTTATAAAAAATTATAAATTTTTTCTAATAAATATAAATTAAAATTAAAATTAAAAAATTTGGGCCATCCAGATTTAATCTGAATGGCCCAAATTTATTTTTATAGATGAGCACCGGTGCTCAGCAAGTGCTGAGCACTAAAGACGGACCCTAAGCTAATAATCTTATAGGCTAGTGGCATGAAAACTCCCTTATAAATGAGAGGTCGTGGATTTGATCTCACTTGTAAGGCCATTAGTGCTTGCCCCTTTAATGGTTTTTTAAAAAAAAGCCACACAAGTATTGTTCAACAATGAAAGTGAAAAAATTGCAATATGATTTTTAATTCA